CAGCCTGACCAACAGATGTTCCTTCGTATTTTTACGTTATTTATAAGTTTTCATTATATGTGGAAAGTTGTAATTTATATATAAATGTATAAATGTCTTTTAAAATTTTATATTTTACTTTTTTATGATTATGTGGCACACTTGACTTCCATACCTAACGCATCGGCATCTGCCTCTTTTTTACAGCTTTAAAAAAATTTTAAATTGTCGCTGTCTGTCACGTTAGCGGTGTTTTACCATCATTTCTACATCCATCACGTCCCAGAGAAGGTTAAACCAACATCAAACCCAACGTTTGGAGCTTGTAAACTCCACACCTCTCGTGCAGCACCAGCTGTCTGATGCTGCAGCAGCGTCAATCTTCCCGGCTGGATGAGTGAATTTCTTCATCAGAGCCAATATTCTGCTTCATAATCAGAGTCAGTCATCTCCAGACAAAGTGATCAGTCAGTAAAGACCAGACCTGCTGGCAATTATATGTTTTATCTAATATTTGTGCTCTTCATGCTGCGCATCTCCTCCTCTCCCTGACTGGGAGCCTCTCGGCGGGAGGCGATTTTCAAACTCTAAAAACTCCCAAACTTTGCTCAGCCTGAAGGTTCCACATCTCCACTATCTTCTGATGTAAAGTAGTAACTTCATGAGGGATCATATTTGTAGATGAGACTTGTTAAAGTCAGCAATGAGGCTTTGGCGCTTATAACGAGTAAGTCCCAACACTGACAACAACGTACTGAAACTAGAACCAACATGCATAAACAGACAGATCGGTCCCGCCTACTTACACTGTTGGTCTTTTTTAAACACGCAGTAATCGTTGTCTTTTTCGCTTCATCCTGCATCCCAGCAGCAACCACTTTGGTGCCTCTGGAGTCGGTGTTTGTTTACGTCATGCTGCATTCAATGTAATTGGAAAAAGGAGCTTCAAGCGCTTAACCTCCGATTTTGTTTTCTTTCTGGCCTTAGTTGGGGGGACAGATCAGGGTCGATCTGAATCTGGAGGGGGCAGATCCCCCCGTCCCCCACCCTGTCTGCGCGCCTGGTGGGTAAGGATGTCAAACTATTTCTGACCCCTTCATAAATATTGTGAACCCTCTTGATTAGGGCTGCTCAATTAATCAAATTTTAATCCCAATTATGATCTGAATGCTCCTCCCACTTGCGCTGCCCTGAGTTGCAAATGAAGCGCTCCTCCCACAGTGTTGCCAACTTAGCGACTTTGATGCTATTTCTAACAGCTTGTCAGACCCCCTTCTTGACTTTTTAAATCTTAAAAGTACCTAGCGAACACCTCAGAAACATCTCTGGTAACCCTTAGCTACTTTCTGGATAACTGTCGTTGACATTTCCTGTAGGTTAGCTAAACACTCTGCCTGCGCTCCGGACTGTTCTTCAGGACATTAGGAAAGGGAATGATGCAGTGATGTGTCAGTCGCTATAGAAACAGCTCTCAGAGCCGGCTCCTTGTTGGATTAACCAGAGTGAGTGACACACACCGTGCCTGCAGGCACCTGAGCCGCTAAAAACGGCTAAATGTGCGCGTGCGGCGCGCTAAACACACGTGCAGCTTGCCCCTGATTGCTGTGAGACCGGGTGGGGGATGGACCCAGGGCCAGATGAACACTTTGTTGTGCCCTGGGCAACAATATTAAAATGCCCCATCATCACGCCCCAAGGATCACCATAATATGGGCATATACAGAATATTTTACTGTAATATGCAGTAAATATACTCAATACTTGAATGCGTGACATCACGTAACCCGCTCAGGGTAACCTTTGACCCACCTCGTGTGGACTGACCAATGAGGAGAGGGTCTTAACTTGAGGCACTCTCTTCATTGGTCAGTCTGCATGAGACTGACTCTCAACTGACATTCGAAGTCATAGGCAGCAAAGCGTCTCTGTGCAGCGCAAAAGCCCGGGTGGACAGTTTGTTTAATGTAGGGTGATCATATTTCCATTTCCAAATAAGAGGACAGGGGATCTGTGCCTATGACGTCACACTATGGCAACGCCACACAAACCACGTTTGGACCCATTTTTTGTAAGAACTAAATTAATATCAGATTCTGCCAATAAAAGGGCTCTAAAACAATTCATATGTAAATATTTTGTATATTTATTGAAACATCTCATTTTTCTGCTTTAGTGCTGCAACAAGGTTTTATTAATAATAAATTATTATACCTTTTGTTTTACTACAGCATCGGTAAGCTTCCTGTGCACAGATTATTAAGGATGCTTGTTTCAGCTGTGAGATTAGACGATAGGATCAATGAAAAAATAAGTTGTCACACACTCCATGGAAACTTTCAGAGAATCCACAAATAGTGGCTTTCAAATGGTTTTGTTACTTTTTGCAAGTTTAGAAAAGCAGCAGATGAGACAGCATGTCTGATAATTTAGTTTTTCATCTGATAATATTAGAACATGTCAGTAATGTCTGAGGGGCTTTTATAAACACCATATAACTAACACTACTGGAGAGGGTATGAATTACACAGAGGCTTCTGGGGAGCCCAGTTATGGGGGGGGGGGGGGGGGGGGTGTCATTTTGCCTTGGCCCCCAAAATGTCTTGAAACGGCCCTGGGTGTGTGACTGAGTTTTGAAGGTGATCTGAATTATATCAGATGTATAAATATGACATGTGTATAACTTATTGTTTTATAGGTAAAAACGTGTAGTGGAGATAAATCTACCTACATTTTACTTTTTGTATTGTTTTATTGTTTTTATTGAACTATTTTCCTGTCCTGTCTGTCTCTCATCTTCCTGCATCTCCTCTTAATTCTCCAGAAAATCTGCTGCCTGGATTCTTACTTTTTCACCTCATCAGTTACTTTTGAGCAGATCAAAGGGATCTCCTGACCGCAAAGCGGAGAGCGCGTTTCGATGCAGCGTCAGTGAGGTGGAGTCACCTCAGCAGGTGATGAGCTCCGCAGTAACAGAGCACTTCAGGCACAAATAAGACAGAAAGTAGAGAACATGTGCGGACATGAACGATCGTGTGCTAATTATAGTTTTTTGGTTGCGTCACTTTGAGAATGGACCGTGCGCTGGAAGCAGCTGCCTGGATCGCTGCGCAACAACGATCAGCGCTGTGCCGCTCTCTGTGCTCTCTGCTCAAAAGAGTCCATAAATGATGTAATATAGGTCGAAAACGTTTTATCCGGCTCCCCTGGATGTGTAGGATATCCAGCACCCCATAATTCGATCCCTGCTCCTGGATGAAAAGCCGGACATTTTCATCAATACAAGAACCCCCCCGGACGACCCGGACAGAGCGTGAAAAGTGGACATGTCCAGGGAAAACAGGACGTATGGTCACCCTAGTCCTCATAAAGCGGGAAATTACAGATACAGTATTTTGCTCGTGCCCTTGCTGCCCTGGGCCCTTTAGAGTTCGTGGGCCCTGGGCAATTGCCCAGTTGCCCGTATGGTTAATCCGGCCTTGGATGGACCTGTAAATAAATAGTTTATAAATAAGGTAGAAATAAGTTCCTTACACTGAAAAATAATAACTAATCTCTCTGAGGACACGGTGCTAGTGCACGCCCCTACAGCACCTTGGCACGACTACATAAATGTTATGCAACATTTTGTGAACATCAATTTATTTGCATTTATTTGTTATAAATGCCACTGTATAATTCTTGCTGTCAGTATTTGCAAGATATTGGTATTTGGGTCTGTACTGGTTAGACTTAAATGAGTTAAACCAAGGTCTGTAGCCCTTGGGTCATAAACTATGAGCTATAAGTATATTGGTCTTTTTATTCTGGGAATCAGGAGTTATTTGTTTCTTATTTAATTTTGTCCTGATTGTGCCCTGAGCAATTTTATGACAGAATAAAAACAAATAAAATCAACATAAATTGAAAAATCATCTTAAATAATCGAGATCTCAATTTCAGTCACAATATTCGTGATTATTATTTTCGCCATAATCGAGCAGCCCTACTCTTGATAGCCCCGTAGTCAAAAAATCTTAGATGCGCCCCTGTTTCATACTAAAACTGTGTTGTTGACCAAAGCAATGCCTGAACACCGGCTGATCCTTAGCACACACACGTCTGGTGCCAGGCTGCACAGAAACAGTAAATCGTTCTGTAAATAAAGTACATTGTGCACACAGGTGTAATAATTGTTTTCCACTTGCTCAGATGAGATTTCTAAGATGTAAACACGGGCTCAAACAGGTAAAAATTGTTAAAGGTGCAATATGTAAAAATATCAAGTCAAATAATCACAAAACAATCTGATGTTTCAATCATGTTGGAAGAAAGGTTACGTTGAATTTTCATTTTATTGAAATGCGCTTCCATCTTTCTCTGTAGTTCTCTAAGAGAACTAGCTGGTCACTAGCTTGTAGCGGGACTTGCCTCCTCTAGCTGACACATTTACATCATGTATTGTTTTTATTCTGAAACCCTTTTTGCATCAGACTAAAGCAACATGCACTGGCTGCAGTGTGAGTTGATTAGAGCACATTTATATAAGGACACTGGTGGGTTGGCTTCTCCCAATGCCACGGCAACTATCGCTATAGGCTTAGGTTAACCTTGAGATGTTTTCATAACACGGCCTTATTTTCACTGTGGAGCGGTCTCCATTGGCTTTTTCTCCTTGGACAACTCAGGAAAACATCCTGGATTCAAATCTACCCCTGACCTCAACACAAGTACTTTATTTTATGTTCTTCTGTCTGATCTGAGCATTTGCTGCCTCTGTGATAATAATATTCTTTCACCAGTTCTGTTTCTTAATGTTGTTAAAAAGGTAAAGTCTAGTTTTTGTTGACTCAGGAAGATCACAGCACAGTGTGGACTGTTACAGTTAGAAGTTTGTTGTTTTGTATCTTGGACAATGGACACAGTTAGCCTTTGGCGTCACGTGGGGGGTTTATAACTCATTAGCAAACATTTCCTTTGTTTTAGCCTCTAAATGTTGCCTACTTTTACTTACAGCATCAACCCGTTTCTGAAGCTGACTCGTGTTTCTCCCAGTTTAGTAAACGTAACTGAGACAGGTTGTAGGCTCCACACACCTGCGGGGTCTCTGACTACGCTGTCAACATGTTTGTGTGACAAAAGATCAAGGATCATCAAGAACCCCCTCTCAATCGTCATAAATACCAGACTTCGGGGATGTTTCCTTTGCAGACTACACGCTCTCCAGGCGTAGCGGTAACTGCTTCTCACCCCTTGTGTTCTGCTTGTCTCCAGGGAAGAGGGACAATGTGTGGAAGGCATCATGGAGATCTTCGACATGCTTCTGGCAGCCACGTCTCGTTTCCGTGAGCTGAAGCTACAGAGGGAGGAGTACGTCTGTCTGAAGGCCATGATACTCCTCAACTCCAGTGAGTTCCAGCAACAAACCGCGGCCTGAGAGCCGGTCTGCAGTGAAGCTGCGGCAGGTTCTGTTTGATCCTGTGTAAATAATACAGCAATGTGTGCATTTGGTTGTTGCACAACTCAAATAAGCTTGTCCCTCTCTTCAGAGACGGACCTACAACACACGACACGCGTCCTCACATACAACCCACTAGATCAGCACGTATGTTGGCACGCTCTAACTTTGCAGGAGATAAAATAACAAAATAATCCCTTCTGACAGCTACACACACAGGAATAAGTCCAATGTCATGCTGCATTTTTAAACAACAAAACTATCCCTGGAAACTGCACAAGCTCCACTTTAAAACTTTCAGAATCCTCCTACCTGTGGAGGAAAAACCACAAACATATTAATGATTATATGAAAGCGTTGGAAACATTAAAACTGCTTTTATTTTAAATCTGGAGTGTAAAATCTGCTGCATCTGATTTAGTCTCAGCTCCACGCAGAACACGAATCTGAACCAAACCACAACAACCTTTTACCTAAATAAATACATATTATTTACTGCTTAATTTTATTACTATTTCCCATTAGATTTTTATTTGAATAAATCATGTAAAGGTTTCTGTAGAAACAGTTGATTTCTTTGGGATGGGGATGGCAAACATCTAGTGTTTTCAAGCCTTTAACTGGGGAGTCAAAGGTTTAACTAGAAAACTAAACTAGAGAAAAAATCCCACTAACATAAAAAAATCTAGAAAATATTAGGGATGTTTGGGTAAAGCGTTACACATTATAATTTCAATTATTTAATGAAAATATTAATAGGTTTGTTGTAGTTTTATTTCCCAAAATGAAATAAAGGCTTTTTTTCTTGATGTAGAAGTTTAAAGGTAAGCATTTGTAATAGGAGCTATTGTTGAATCTTATTGGATTTCATTAAGAATAAATACATTTAGATCTTTTTTTTTACAGTTTTTTAAAACTTTGTAAAGAAGTCCCGTATTTAGTGGAGATAAAACGACCTGCATTGACTTCATTTCTGCTAGTTTTAGCTTTTTATTCGTTCATGTTTGTAGAGGTCACAGTGTCCTGATGCTGCCCCCCCCCCCCCCCCCCCCCTTACAGGTCTCACCGCGGTGAGTGACCTCTGTTCATGTCCTCCGTTTAGTTTAACAACATTTCCTCTTGAAGGCACACACAGGTTCCTCTGCCAGACTCTGTTTTCTTTGTTGATTCTGCAGCTGGGATGCAAAAAAGAACAAATTGTGCAAGAAGTAAAACTGAGAGAAGCCAGGGAAAGCACGGGAGGGTTTTAAGATTTATGGATTTAGATGGATGAAAAGTTTGGGCTCAGCTCTGGTTTCTGGTGTTGGACAGGTTGATGTACAGCTTCTCCTCTCTGTCGGCCTCTAGAGTTTCATCTGGAGCAGCTAGTGAAGAAACTAGAAGCCAGATAGCTTTTTCTGTAGCTTAAACCAACACTGCATAAGTTTAAAAGATTTCCCTCCTACTGGCTGAAAGTGGAATTGTTGTTAACCCTGTCGCAGCCTGCTGTAGCTATGCTAACAATGCGCCAATGCTAACACAAGCCAATTGATCCTCATAAGCCAGAAAGTAAAACAAATCCACACTGTTGAAAAAAAAAAATTACATGTCCAGTTGGCAACAAAGCCAAGTCACCATCAGCTTGGGATTTCCCTCCTCCAGCTCTCTCAGATGTTTGTATGTACACCCTGGCTTTGCTTTGCCTCCAAACATTTCTCATTCACTTCCAGGCTCCGCCATGATGGCAACAAATGAATAAATAAGTAAAATCCTTCTTATTCTTGTGCGTTTTGACGGACATCCTTCCATCCATCCATCCATCCATCCATCCATCCATTTTGTGAACCCGCTTGTCCACGTAGGGTCGCGCGGGGTGGGGGGGGGTGGGGGGGGGGGGCTAGTGCCTATCTTCAGCGGTCAATGGGCAATCAGGCGCCATAGTTTGAACCCTGCATATAGAACAAGTTGGTCGCATGAGTTGCCGGATCCCAGCAGACAGTTGCTGGAATGGTCTTTTCAAAATAAGAGTTCCTGGACCTTGTTTCTGCAAGATCTGGCACAAATGAAGCCCTGGTCGTGGCTGAAGGTGGTCTGATCCTCAACGACAAAAGCTAGCTCTCGGTATGTGGGATGTCATCTCTCTAGTGGGGAAAGTGCCGCAGTTAAGCCTAATGTAGACGTCTCCGTCAGCGCCACAAGGGAGAGACACACACGGACGAAGACGTTTTGCACTCATACTTCTCCGTCTCCTGGGGAGTGTTACAAAACAATTACCCGCCAGGACACCAGAGGGTGTAGCACTGCTCTGTGGTATCCTGTCATGTGTCCGGTCCAAGGTAGTGTGTTCATATAGTTTTTTTTTTAATTTTTTTTTTTTGTATTTGAGAGACTTTTTAACACGGACAAATTTGTCGCTCATCCTCTTTCCCCTCTTCATGCGCTCGCCACCTCTGAACCCACGTTTCCCGTCATTTCCGTCCACAAATGAAGCGCTTGCTGCGTATCTTTTCACTCCTCCAGTCACAGGGGGATAAAATGTTCATATTTTTAGAGATTTTCCACGAGGTATTCTTCAGGGCCGTGCAGAGACCTTTGAGGGGGCGGGTGCTCAAACTAAAAAAAGGGGCACTTATAGAGCAATCCAACAAGTTAGAAAATTCAGATAATGAGACCCTTGGGTTCAAACAACATAATAAAAATATATCAATTAGTGTCATTAATGTTAATGTTAGTTCATAAATAATAGTTTTAGTTTTTAAAGCTGACTTATATCTAGAGATGTTACAACCACATTTTTGCCCCTGATCCGAGTCCAAGTTGTTTGATTTTTGATTATCTTCCAATACTGAGTCCTGTTCTGATACCAGGTGGTGATGCAACGCATTATAAAAGAAGAAAGAAGTCGTCCTTCCGTCTGTATTTGTTATTTTGTTATTTTAGCCTGAAAAGGTCACTCATTCAGGAAGTACATTCAACAGGAATCAAGATAATTTATTGCTATTGCACAGGTGTACAACCAAATATATTTTGTGCTTACTAAAGACAGCTCTAGTAAGAGGTAGTAAAATAAATGTAAAATAAATGCAACCACAGAGACTTATCCAGTGTGATCTACAGCTATGTTAGCTGAGATCTTTTTCCTGTCAGTAGAAAATTCTTGATCCCATTCCATGATCTCACTGAACTTAACACTAAACATGAGAGCTCTGCTACCAACCTAACAACAACACCCTTTACACAAAGGCACCATCATCACATACGTGGCAGGAGTCGCAGAGAAACTTAGAAGAATCTTCTCCAAACACAACATCCCAGTAAACGTTAAACTAGGGATGAGCGAGTACACCACTATCTGTATATGTTCAACCAACTAAATTATCTGTACTCGGAATGGGCGTGGCATAACCCGGAAGTGGGCGTGGTTTAACTGGAAGTGGGTGTGGTTTACATCAATATATTATTTTAAGTTTGAAATTGATATGGAATGATCAGAAGTTGATATGTGTTATTGTTTATTTGAAAACTATTTACAGAGCAGCCTCAGAATTGAGATTAATATTTTTGATCATAATAGTAAAGAAACTATTTCAGAACAAGTTTTTCAATAAAATCAGAACATTAATATTTAAGTGCATGGATTAATACATCTGAACTCATGCAGTAGGAACTAGGAAATATGAAATGCTAGAACCAGACACAACTTTATATATATATATTTTTTATTTTAAATTGATTAAACTGATTTTTTTCTTAACGTTCTTGGTATTTTGCCCCACACAAAGTTAAACTAAGCAATGTTGATTAAGGTGTGTGTGTGAGAGAGAGATAAGAAAGGGTGAGAGGGAGTAAAAAAATAAAAAACCCGACCGGAGCGGAGGTAGTGAGTTAATGCAGCACGTCAGCTCTGTCTTGTCAAATGCACCATGTAAGTTACGAAAAAAGTAACTTTAAATATTCAACTGAAAAAGAGGCGAGCTGAAGAAAACCTAGGGAAAACTGAAGAAACGTGAGTAGCAGTGAAGCAAGCACAGCAAGATCCGTTACTGTCTGTTTGTGTGTGTGCGTGGATGAGCCGGACGGACTGCGCTCCCGGCAGGCTAGAGAGTTTTGTGTGTAGGGAGGGGCGGGCGCTCTATGTGACTGGCCAATCACAGAGCGTGAAGACAGTCAGTTACCCAATGCTCGTATTCATCAAAAATGCTTTATCCCTACTTTAAACCCAACAACACCCTCAGACAGAACCTGGTCCATCCAGAAGACAAACACCCAAACAGAAGCTCAGTGGCATCGTTTATGCAGTCCAGTGTAGGAGCACTGTCCAGATGTTTACATTAGAGAAACTAAACAACAATTACACAAGAACATAACACAACACAGGAGAGCCACCTCTTCAGGTCAAAACTCTGCAGTCCACCTTCACCTGAAGGACAAGGGACACACCTTTGAAGATGACAAAGTCCACATTCTGGACAGAGAAGATAGATGGTTTGAGAGAGGAGTAAAAGAAGCTATCTATGTAAAAATGTGAAAACCCCACTTTAAATAGGGACGGGGCTTAGATTTCACCTTTCCAGTACCAATAATGCAGCTTTGAATCTCGTTCAGTTTCAGTCTAGGTCACACCTTCCTGCATCTAATCAACACGATGACTCACCAACAATAGAGCTCCGGGAGTTGACGTCACCTCTCCCAGCATGCAACTGTTCAAATCGAAACGGCGCCATATTGGCAGGCAGAAGCCCGCAGCTGGACTATGTGTTATTGTCAGAAAACTGAATCAGACAGGAAATATGGTAGATTCCTGTTGTGCCCCAGGATGCAGAACAGACGCGGACGACATAAGGAACGAGCCATCTACAGGATTCCCCAAGATCCGGAGCGCCGCAAACGTTGGATCATTGTAACAAAACGCACTAGTGACCGGGTTAAAATGAAGCTGTGGGATCCCGAGAGTAAAGGTTTTCGCTTATG